CTATAATGTTTCCCGTATGGGCCTTGTGAGAGGTGTACCAGCTGATTGGTCGATGCAGGAATTTGTCGAAACCTTGGAAATTCCCGAAGGTACAGGTATAGTCCTCAAGGCCAGACGCCTAAACCGCAAGACGAACTCCGATGGTCAAATTAATTGGATCCCAACACAAACCGTTGTTCTAACTTTTCAAGGTCAAACCCTTCCTGAGAGAATATTCTCTTGTCATAGTTCCCTCCGCGTTGAAACGTACCAACTCCCTACAATTCAGTGCCTTAACTGTTGTAGGTTTGGTCACGTAAAGTCACAATGCCGATCGAAGCCTAGGTGTTTTCGTTGTAGTCTAGCCCATTCTGGTGATGAGTGTAATATCCCTGAAACAGAGACATTATGTTTATTTTGTACTGCCTCACACTTTGCGACCAACAAAGCTTGCCCTGAACATAATCGACAAAGAAATATAAAGAGTTGTATGTCTCAAGAGAGCATTTCTTATCTCGAAGCATCGGCTCGGTTTAGACCTATCAATGGCAAAACTTTTGCAGATTCTGTAAAAGCAACCCCCTCCTCTTTATCCCAGCCCATTACTTTACCTTCCCAAGTTTCCCGTCAGACTACATCTTACAGGAAAACTGTATTTCTCCCTCCTCGCTCTAGACCAACATCAGGAAAATCCTTTGATAAGGCGGCCCATGAGGCCATTACTTCCAATTTACCCTCCTCTTTACCCAATGGTTGTGCCGTAAGCTCCCCTTCCCTTATCAACAATGAAGTCTCCCCAAATGAAAATCTTCTTGACTGCTTATGGGCAGTCATTTGTAATATGCTATCCAAGTATGATGACATCCCCATACCGTCCCACGTTGCCCAAAAAATTAATTTGCTCCACTCATTCGTCACCAAAAATGGCGAATCTGGTAATTCAGTGGAACTGTAACAGTATTCGCAGTAAAAAATCAGAATTAACCTTTCTTATCAATAAATTCGCTCCATCTATTCTAGCCATTTCGGAGACTTGGTTATTGCCGGGTTCCCGCTTTAGGGTTTCTGGGTATCGATGTCTCCGAGATGACAGGGATGATGGCTATGCTGGCTGTGCCTTTTTGGTCAGCCGATCCCTCACCTTCCACTCATTATCTCTTCCTCATTGTGATGGTATCAATGCTGTTGCTATGAGAGCTTTTAATATCTCGTTTATTTCTGTTTATATTCCCCACCCCCATATCGACCTCATTTCTGATATACGTTCTATTATCCTTTCGGTTCCTCCTCCTGTTGTCATGTTGGGTGATTTCAATGCCCACCATGTTTCTTGGGGTTGTCATTCCTCAGATTCTTTTGGGTCCCTTCTACTAGATTTACTCGATGATATAAACATAAGTGTCTTGAATAATGGTTGTCCTACGAGAAGGAGTCTTTTATCTCAGAATCCCGCTAACGCAGTGGATTTATCACTTTGTTCTCCTGATCTTTTCCCTTTTCTATCCTGGCGTGTTTTTAAGAGCACTTGTGGGAGTGACCACTTCCCCATTTTAATTGATCTCCCAACCAATTTAAGGAGCGTTACTCGCCCTTCCCCTCTTTTAAAATTTAAACTGAATCAGGCCAATTGGTCAGACTTTTCATCTTCTATTGACTCTAAGATAGCTGCGCTCCCCGCAGTTTCTGTTGAAAACTGCCTATCTTCATACAATGATTTTGTCAACTCCCTCACCTCATCTGCCAGTTTACATATTCCACTCAAATCTTCTACACAAAGGAAAATTTCTCCTCCTTGGTGGGATTCCGAATGTACTGAGATGATTCGAAAAAGAAAAACGGCAGAAAGGTCATACAGTCTTTGCATGACCTTGGAAAATTTTTTAGTCTACCAACAAGCTTCTGCAGCTGCTCGCAGACTTCTTAATAATAAGAAACGTCTTGGTTGGCATAAGTTCTGTGAGAGCATGTGCCCTGGTACCCCTTCGTCTGTTGTTTGGAGGCAGATCAGACGATTCCGTTGTTCCCTCAATTCTTATGATGTCCCTTTTAATGATCCGTCTAGCTGGATTACCTCCTTTGCCGACAAATTGGCTCCTCCATCAGTCCCTTTTTATGATTGTCTTCCTTATAAGTATAATTCTTACATCCCCTCTTCAAACAGTCTAGATTGTCAATTCTCCTTGGAAGAACTTAACAAAGCATTAAATGGTATCTCTGACTCTTCCCCTGGAGAAGATGGAATCCCTTACTCATTCCTCATAAATTCTTCATTAGGCACTAAGAGGTACTTTCTAGATTTAGTAAACTGTTTTTTCGATCTTGGAATTATTCCTGAATCGTGGAACAGACAAATCGTCATTCCGCTTCTAAAACCTGGCAAAGATCCATCAGATTTCTCTTCATACAGACCTATTGCTTTGTCTTCTACCCTTTTAAAAATTATGGAACATTTGATTAAAATTCGTTTAGAATGGTTTTGTGAAAGTAACAATATCTTTGCAAAATCCCAGTTTGGTTTCAGGAAAGGCTTAAGTACGATGGATAGCCTAAGTATAATAACGACCGACATTCGCATTGCTTTTAAAAAGAAACAGTTCCTGGTGGGTGTTTTCTTGGATATCGCATCTGCGTATGACCACGTGCTGGTTCCAGTGCTCAGGCAAAAAATGCTTCAGCTGAGTATTCCTGAGAAGTTGGTACGTTTTGTTTGCAATGCAGTTTCGAATCGTTATATTATTATAAGATCTCAAAATACGGAGCTGTCTCCTAGATCTATTTGGAGGGGCTTACCTCAAGGTTCTGTTTTGAGTCCCCTTCTGTACAACATTTACACCTATGACCTGGAGCTTGTTGTGAATTCCTTCTGTCAGATTCTTCAATACGCGGACGATGTAGCCTTATACTTTTCATCAAATTCTATTGAAGAGGCATCATCACGCCTAAATTCGGCTTTGGATTATTTGGGTGATTGGTTAAATGATCATGGTCTCTCTATTTCTGTGCCCAAATGCTCGGCAGTCACATTTACTACAAAATACAAGGTTCCACGGTGTAACATTTCATATAAAGGGTCCTTGGTATCGTGTTGTAAGCAAGTAAAATTTTTAGGCCTTATTTTAGACTCAAAGTTAAACGGTGTTCCTCATTTTAACCATGTGATTAAAAAAGTGAGAAGGGTGTTAATGTTCTCCGTTCATTATCTGGTGTGAGGTGGGGAGCACACCCCTACTCGCAAAAGCTTTTATACAATGCTGTGGTACGAAGTCATTTTGATTATGGCACCTTCCTTTTAGATCCTGGCAACAAGCAAGCCCTTGATAAAATTTCCAAAATTCAATCGAAATCTTTACGCATCATCCTTGGTGCTATGAAATCCTCTCCCATCAATGCTCTCCAAATAGAATGTGTTGACCCCCCTGTATTTACGTAGACAATTTTTAAGTGACCGCTTCTTCATCAAAGTCCTTCAATACTCTTCACATTCCATCTTGTCCAAATTACGTCGCTTATCTAATCTCACGATGCCATCTAGTACAGGTAATGTTCCATGCCTGTTATACAGTTTTAATAAACTTTCTCGTCTTCCTAATCCTATTGAAAGTTTCCCTAGTAATCCCTTGTTTTTAAATAGTTATGAATCCCTCATTTTTGATCCTAAAATAATTTTAAACTTTGGAATTGAAAAAAGTCCACCCAAGCTTCCACTTGTTTTCTGGAAAAAATTTCTAAAGACTGGCAGGGTTGGTTACCGATGTATACTGATGCTTCCAAGATTCCCAATAATGAGTACATCGGTGCGGCTGTATGGGTTCCTTCATTCAAAACAGTATTGAGCTTTAAACTTCCTCCATTGACCTCCGTTTTTTCAGGTGAAGCTTTTGCAATCCTAGAAGCGGTTTTGTATGCTGAGTCCCACAACCTAAATAAAGTTACAATTTTTTCCGATTCTCGCAGCTGTTTACAGGCAATTCTTTCCAATCCATTCAGGTCTAAAAAAAACATAATACTATTCTACAAATAAGAGAAGCTTTGTTTAGGTGTAGTAAAAAAGATATTCATATTGTACTTTTGTGGATTCCTAGTCATTGTGGTATAGCGGGTAATGAAACTGCTGACTCTTGTGCAAAAGGTGCTATTTTCTGCGGATCTTGTCAGCATCCCAACATCTCGGCCCACGACCTATCAGCTCTTGCGTACTCCCACCTTTTAAAATCCTGGACTATTGATTGGCAATCTTCTAAAGTAAAACTGGCAGGCACTATGCTAATATTCAGTATTCAATCCCTTCTTCGCCGTGGTTTTTTAAATATAAGTTTTTAAACAAAAAGGTCACGTCTATAATCTGCCGTCTTCGTATAGGGCACGCTTGTACTCCCGTTCATCTAGCCAAAATTAAAATTAAAGACAGTTCTCTCTGTGAGTGTGGTATGGACGAAGGCTCGACAGACCACATATTTTTTAACTGTTCTTTAATTAATGACTCGTTATTTGACCATCTTTCTTCAGATTTCCCTCGTCCATGTAACCTTAACTCCCTACTTTCCCTCCCATCCAGCTCGATCGTCAATATTTTAGGGAAATTTATTTCTGTTAATAAATTAAAGTTATAAATAAGATTCTCCCCTCCATACCTTGTAGTAAAATGTTAACCTTTTGTATATATTATTAGATGTCTGTGTGTGTTGTATTTATTGTGATGTCATTTTTGTTTTGGGTAACTCTGCTTAGATAAAATTCAATCTAGTAAAATTATCAAATCTATCCTCACTGTGTGAAGACTTAGAACGTGACATTGGCGGAATTGTGATTTACACAGATGTCGCCATTATAAATAAAGTGAAGTGAAGTGAAGTGAAGTCAGAACCGCTCGCTACTTGTGCACTCCAGTTTAGACTTTACTTACAACTTACAAGTTACAAGCTGTAAGTAAGACAAAGTAGACGTATTCTGGCTATTCTAAGAAATTTCTGCATAATAGTTGTAATAATTTGTTACAAGTAAAAAAAAGAAAATAACTGAAAATGGAAGATAGTACGAATTCTACTGATTATTTTAACCTTAAGAACATGAAACACATCGTTGATGCATTGTAAGTAAGAGGATATATGAGATATTATGTTTTTAAAATACATACCTGTAAAATAATTGTAGATTAAATTTAAATATATATTATACTTCTTCTACGGTTTAAGTGATATATATTTGGGATAACATCAACACTTAGCACATGTTTAGTTTAAAAATAGAAAGTTTTGCCACTCTTGTAATTATAACATTTTTTAAACTTTTTCATCAATATATATATATATATATAGGGAACTTCTTTAAAAAAAATTCTACATCATATTTAATTTTTTCCTTGATATTTATCTAGGGATCGAAATCAAAAAGTATTTCCTAATATTCTACATTGTATTGGAAACACTCCTCTAGTGAAGCTTTCAAATATACCAAAAGAGGAAGGATTAGAATGTGACCTTTGTAAGTACTTTCTTAAATGTAATAATTCTTATATATTTTGAAAATTATTATTCTTGTTACTATTCATTTTAATTGTAAATATCTTATCATATTCTGCATTTTAGATGTGAAATGTGAATTTCTAAATCCTGGTGGATCTGTAAAGGATAGAATTGCCTATAGAATGGTGTTAGATGCTGAGGAAAGGGGAGTTTTAAAACCAGGGAGGTCAGTGATTATTGAACCCACTTCAGGAAATACGGGAATTGGCTTAGCACTTGCCTCTGCAGTAAGAGGTAAATAATACAAAAAATACATTATTTTTGTTACATATAAAATTGCACAAGAATGGAAGTTTTATTTGTATATATTTTATTATATTACATTTGTATATTATGAAATATGTAGATTTTATTTTTGTGTGTATGTGTTACAGGTTACAGATGTATAATAGTACTGCCAGAGAAGATGTCAGATGAAAAAGTGAATACTCTTATGGCCCTGGGTGCAGAAATTATTAGGACTCCTACTGAGGCACCTAGTGAATCACCTGAAAGTAACATCAATGTTGCCAAACGACTTGTTACTGAAATCCCCGATGCTGTTCTGCTTGATCAGGTAACCCTTACAAGAATTATATATTGTTAGTAGGATATATTGGAAACAGTTTAACCTACTAACATTTATTATTTGCATTGTTTGAATAATTCTGAGAGTTTTCTAACCAAATATCAGGGAATTAACCATAACTATTGGTCTGTACTGGCAAACCTTGTATTCATATAATTGATTTGCACGCTATTTTAACTCAGCCTTCACACAACTAAACATAAGTAATAATTGATTATAGTGACATATATTTTTTTTAATTCATTTATTTTACAGAATCATATAATAAATTATTAAATGCTACATAAGAAAACCACCATGGTTTGTATTAATGTAACCATAGTAGTATTCTTTAGGTGTCCGGCAAATACATATAAAAAATTATTTTTTTTCAATTTTTCTTGCTTAACGTTGGTTATGAAATCTTTTAAGACTAAGAATAGTATGTTAAATTGCAATATATATTTATAAACCTACCTACTATACAGCTGTCATAGCTTTTGAATGTTTTGTCTTGTGTATATGTTACTTATAAGACAATCAGTCTGTGTACACGACTGCATGAGGTTAGAATACATATAACCCATACGGTAATATATTTCCCATCTGCAGTACAACAATGTATGCAATCCCCTGGCTCACTATGACACAACGGCAGAGGAAATCCTTTGGTCCTTGGATGACGATATTGACATGGTTGTTATAACGACAGGCACTTGCGGTACCGTGTCAGGAGTGGCACATAAAATAAAAGAAAGATGTCCTAAGTGTATCATAGTAGGAGTTGATCCTTACGGCTCTATTTTGGCCCAGCCAGAAGAACTCAATACAAGTGATGTCCAACTGTATGAGGTATGTATATTAACAGAATCTGAATATTGAATACCCCAGATTTGGTTGACCAACATTCAAAGTTGTAGAAAGAGACTTTATAATGCACAATGCATCATCTTAAATACCACTTTAGTGGTTTTTTTTCTTTATATTTAATAAGTATTAAGTGTGTTTAAATGTAAATTGCCCTTATTTTGTCTAAGACGTTTTGCGTCAATGTACTTATAGATATTACTAGAACTAGCTTTAGGAATACAGAATGTCAAATATACAAAACATAGATGTAAAAACGAAAAATTGGTATTTCTTAATCTGGTGTCGAAATAAGAGCAAAGTGCAAAATATTTAAGAGAGTATATTGATTATATCTTTTAAGATTGTTTCCTGTTTGTCTGTTAGCAAATTATTATTAAATTCAACTCGTGTTGAAGTAAGCGATAAACTTCTGATAAACTATTTTGTTTAAACAACGGTTAGCGTAATAATATTATGGTTTGCGTAATTTTTCCAATATTACGTGAAATTGATATTGCTCTTATCGGAATGTGCAGATTTCAAATGTATACTTCTAAAATTATATATTTGGTATTGTGAAGCTGATGAAGGTTGGTTAAACACGCTATTTCGGTCGAAGGCAAAACAAATTTGTGTCTCGGTCATATAGATAGATGGGAGCCTCGAAACGTTTTTTTTTGCTTAAACAGGTAAATTTATATATTACCATGAGCTTGCGAGAGAAAAATGATATAGGCAGAATTGTGACCCTTTGAAAGCCCTAGAAATAGGTTGCGACAGAATATATCTAAGGTAGACTTACCTTATTTACGGTCAACTTTCATTAAAAACATAATTTTCAAGAGTATTTCTATAAACACGGTATGAAATGCTTCAACATTATCCTTGACATCATTTGGTTTTGATTAATATCGAAAGAGATATCAAAGCTTTAAAATAACAATCGAACAAATTAAGAATCGAGGTCCCGCCTTGATAGCTATCGCGTTGGGCTCTATGAATCAAAGTTTTCAGACATAATTTTTGAATGCAATACTTTTAATTCTTTTTAACGACCAAATTAACGCGGGTGAATCCCCAGGACCACCTTATATTTACCTAACCTAACCTTGAACATAATCTCAAATTGCAATACATTTTCAATATTGACGTTGAAATATGTATGTAATAAAACTCTTGTCTGCTAAAATGTCTAAACGATTTAGTGATATTGGGTTTACGTGTAATTTTTAGGTGGAAGGTATCGGTTATGATTTCCTACCGCGTGTTCTGGACCGCTCGGTAGTGGACAGATGGGTCAAAACTGACGACTCAGGGTCCCTGCCAATGGCCCGAAAACTTATTCAAAAGGAGGGGCTTCTGTGTGGTATGTTTTTATTTATCATATTACCTCTTAGTTCACCTACAGTCGGCAAGGATGGCCTTTAGCTACGATATATTACTAAATTACGTTAAATACGTTTAATTTTAAAGTACTTTTCAACGATAATTAATAATGATAATTGTTTTTACTCATTATTACAACATTCTCTATTAATTTCTTATCGTGTTCATTAAGACTATATTCTCAGTTCTCACAGTGATAAATGTTATTTAACTAGCACATTAAACCTTATCTAAATAGTAAGCTTTTTTATCCACGATAAAGTATTGTTACATTTTTTCACACGAATTATTAGTCTATGGAAATTGGAGATTCATATTCACAAAAATGTTTTAATTTTTACGATCATTACTGTCCAAATAACAGTGTTGCCAACATAACACACGGTTCTCTTTCCGCATGGCCTATAGACTGTAATACAATAGACGAGAAGATAGATTTAGCAGTACTTTAAAAAAATAAAGCTACTTTTTCAATTTTTTTAGATTTCCGTACCTTTTTCATGTTTTATTTGGCTTTTCAAATAGTGGGCATTTAGTTAAGATATTTATTGAGTCTGCAATTGAAGATGTATTTTATATTACTTCTATTGAATAACCGATGACTGATATATTATTTAGCATGGAGGGGGTGTTTATCCAGTTGTACATATTACGTACAATTTTAGAAAACTTGTTAATGATAATTGCGTCTCATGCGCCATTAAAGGTGGATAAATTACAAAATGTATTTAGGTGGCAGTAGCGGTGCCGCTGTATCCGGTGCCGTGCAGGCAGCTAAAACCCTAGGGAGAGGTCAACGTTGTGTAGTCCTGTTGCCCGACAGCATTCGCAATTACATGACCAAGTTCATCTCCGACCAGTGGATGGAGGCCCGCGGGTTTCAAGCCACGCCTAGTAAAGAACATTTGTGGTGAGCCAACGACGACATTCCCACTTGAACGGTCTATCTCGGATCGTAAGACAGATATAACAATAAGTAGACCGAGCCCAAATAGGTATGGGGAAATGAACTTTTGTTTTTTTCTTTTGTTTACTATTAGGTGGTGGGACAAGCCTATAAATGCTGAATTACTTCAAGAGCCAACATCGATATCAATCACCACTACGCCCAGCGAAGCTCTAGCGACCTTACGAACGACCGGCAAGGCGCTACTGACCGTCGTCGACGATAAAGGGTAATTTTTTAATTGACAAGTTTTTTCTTTGTTTTTTATTTGATTTTTTATCCTAAACTGCCCCAATCTTATTCTGTTCTCCAATCCAATGTCTCTCTTACACGTATTTAAATGCTATTCATTAAATGGTAACAATTTAATGAGTTCCCACTCTATAATTAAAAACAATGTGGAAAAGTATGTCGTCGGTTGCAGATTCACGGGGACGTAAACGAGAAAACAAAACTTGTAGTAGACAAAAATATACTAGTACAGACCAACAACAAAAAAACCCGTAAAAATAGTTAGAAATGTTTATAAGTCTCCGGTCTCTTCCGTCTGACATAACTAGCACGTTAATCAAAAGTATACAATTACCGAGAGATATAATTTTGACTTCAAAAATGGACTATCAATTGTCATCGTGATAATTTAAAGCCAAAAATGAATACCTAAATCCGTTTGAAATATTATGAATTCCGTCCGCTAATGATTTTCCTGCTCATCGTTCTATTAATTTACATATACGTCGTAATAGAATTCGTCCTTCATTACATGTGAGGCGATGACAATCTCCGGAGGAAGCGACAGATGTATTATTCGTACGCTTTTGTCGTTGGCTTTTCTAATATATCCATCCATAGGGCCATCTAAAAGTTCTCGCGATGTTACAGGTCGATACGAGGCGTTTTCACCGCAGACGATGCTCGACGAAGACTGGCCAATTTCGCAGGTTCCCCTACAGAAGAACTAGCAAAGTTTATCGTGAAGAAGTATTATAAAGTCAACTTGAGTGACGGGCCGTCGCTGGGCTCCATCTCGAGACTCCTCGACATATCTCCGTATGTCGTTGTCGTGAAGACAGGTAGGTGACCGTTTCTGTTCATAGCGAGCCGAGTGATTCGCCTTGATGTAGTTTTGCACTCGGTGATCCCGGATCCGTCAACTTTCGTATCGATAAATGTATTCGTTTCAGAGTCGAGAGATACTTTGACCAAAGTCGGGCTCGTTTCGATTCAGTCTGTTTATTTAAAATTGAATGCTCATAGTAACGTACGCAAAGTCGTAACGAATAGCCACCAAGACGAATTCTCATTTTGTCGACAAAATCGACATTTGCCAACGGAACCTTAGACAAGGAAATTCAAACTCAATATCTTTTAATTCACAGAAAGCACTATTGAACGAGCGGTGGGAGTGGTGACTTCAGAGGATATTCTTCGTTTTATAGCAATTGATGGGAAGCAGATTAATGGAAACTAGAACATGACAAAATTATTATATTTTAACAACAAATGGATGACCTGAAAATTCATATGCTTCATTACTGAAAGGTCAACAGTAGACTTTTACCAATCACTACCTCTTTATACAAAGGTAGATGTTATAAACCAGTGTAGTAAAACATTATATTATGAAGAAACTGTTATTTCCTCTATAATGTTGCATTTAATGACAATATTGAATTTCATTATTTAAAAAAAATAGATTATATTTTATGAAATAAAAATTATATCTGACAATTTTTTTTATTTTACATTCCCCAGTGTATAGTTTATCTTTATATCACACCACTATGCACTTTAGCTGTCATTGTTGTCCTACCGCGGTGATTGTAGGTTTTAGCGCTAATTGTGCCTCCAGTAGGTATGTGATCCTGTTGAAGGCAGTTATGCTATAAGCGACTCCCAGAATCAATTGTATTGGTCTAATTGGTGTGTGTACTCCAAGTGCTCCAAAAAATGTGGTTGTCTGTAAATTCGGTTTACGGACGATAATTTTACGATGTCACTTTTTCGAATTTCATTGAATCCAGTATCACTAAATTATCATTATTTAGCATAATACAAAGACGGAGTTAATTGAAAATTACATTTTTTTTCGATAAATTAACATATATTTGCGTTAAATGAAATATTTTTTTGCTCAAAAGATTAATTACTAGTAACAATGTGCGATTAACAACTCAAGGTAAATGCGTCACAAGCTCGCTCTGGCCGCTTGGCTCGGCTTTAGGTTCCCACTGCATCGTTTACCGAATATATCATGGGGAGTGAAATTTCAGAAGAATTATTAGACCTGCGGCTGAATTCCATAAAAAGTAAAATGTCATTTATTCATGTAGGTAACACAATGTACACTTCTAAACGTCAAAAAAGAAATATACATTAAATGCTTCTAACTTTACATTTACTGCCAGTTCTTAAATCAAGGGCGTAGAACAGAAGAAAGAACTGGCAATTTTTTTTATAACGGGGGGCAAACGGGCAGGAAGCTCACCTGATGTTAAGTGATACCGCCGCCCATGGACACTCTCAATGCCAGAGGGCTCGCGAGTGCGTTGCCGGCCTTTTAAGAATTAATTAACTCTCCGCCACTCTTTTTAATCACCAAGTTTTTTGTTTTACACGATGCTTGTAAGGAGCTGCAGCCATTACACCATGTTCCACATGACATCTTAAGTAATAAATAATAATAGAATAAATTAAAAACAAAGATTTTTCCTCTATCAGCAGGAAGCATGGTGAGAACAACACGCAAATACATAGTCGAAACAACTAACATCACCGCATACTCTAATTCAAGTACGACCGATCACCACAAGTAGCCGTTCACGAGTATGACGCATGGCCACCCATCGGCCCCCTCGCCATATTTTAGGGAGAGAGACAACCCGACGCATGGTCGCCGCCACAAGCAATGACATTTAAGCGTCAATCAACGAAAAAGGTAGAATGTAAAATTCTATCCTTTTCAACTCGATGCCTGTCGTGCCATATATATCATAGCAGTTTTAAGGTCCTTTCTGCTGTCCACCACATCTTTGTGGATCCAGCTGCCAGTAGTGGTTTTTCTGAACCCTTACGACTTAGACCTTCAAGAAAAGAGCGTACCTTTCCCTCAGAGATTGGCAACACATCCCGGCGTAGTAGTCCTGATCGCTTGCCTCCTGTGCGGTGTGCCATAAAAAGTTACTTAAGAGAATTAAGTGCGGTGGCGGTTCTTAGTTATATAAATATGTTCAAATAAAATACTTTGTTTGAAGCTCGGTAACAACTAATTGTTTAAAACATGAGCTTATAACATTAGGGGTAGTGGGGTTGCAAGGCTAACAAAAACTAACTTGACATATTGAAGAGTTCGTAAATAAGTGACACTTATGTTATTGGACATTATCGGAAACGAGAATGTTATATTACAATTTATGAGTGTGGTAGTGTGGTTTAACTAGCGGCGTGAAACTTGAAAGCTGTTCCACTGGCTGTAGCCAGTTGATAAAACAGCTAGGCAAATGACTTGGATCGATCACGTTTCATTACTTCCCTAGCCTGTTGTGTGTTAATTTAAATTTAATTCCACTTTCTGCTACTCTCAAACTTGAAACGAAACTCTTCAAACTGTCAAAATGGCGTCGGCAAACCACAACTTTAATGGTGTTTTCCAAAATTTAATGAAAAACAACAAGTACAATGGAAAAGTGTAGTGACAATAATAATGTGAATTTGACTCAAGCAATTTAATTTTACAAGAAATATTTTTTATGTCATATGTTTTTTTTTTTTTTAAATCTGCCATTTTATTTCTGCCAAATAATGACTCTATCGTACCAATGGCCTAAGCATTAGCCAGCCAGTTTATGAAATGTTGTAACAAACGATACGGCTGAATATCTTTTAGGCCGTTAGTTAAACGGCGCCGTTTAGTTAAAGGTATAGGCTGTTAATTGAACGGCTAATTAAGGTAGTTGGCTACTACATATACACATATATGTATATATACCTATATGATACTTAACTAATGTTAGCTTACCTAACTAGCGCTAGCGTATTCAATAATTTGATAAACAAATCGATATAAAATTACTTTTTAATAAATAAAATGGTTAGATTTTAATTAAAACATTCATGTCGTTTGAAATGCAAATTTAATCAGAATAAATAAAAATTATAAGACGTGACGGTTGGACGGCGGTATGGGACTGGAAGGTTAACGCATGTATCGAATTAAGTAAATTTTGTTACTATACTAAAATTGTTACAACATTTATTAAATATGGTATTAAATTTTTTTGAATATTTTAAATATTGGCTAATGAAACTATGTATAGGTGAAATTAGTAGAATATATTATTAATATACTGGCTGTTCCACGTATTTTACTCGCATTTATTTAGTTGATGATTATTTTACTGCGGCATTATTTGATATTGATAATACTCGTTGAAACCAAAGATTTCAAGGTCGAGTTAGTACTAAATTAAATCCTATTATAATTAGCGTATCTATTTGGACAATGATTAATACCATGTTAAAAACCCTAAGAAACCCACGATTGTTTATATTAAGCTGGGTTTCCACTATGTTCGCAAATCTCTTGCGCTCCGCGCTCCTGCAACCGCTCTGATCGAGATGGTACGCGCATGTCCAATAAAAACACGCATGCTCCACAGTGCTCTTGCGAACATTGGGCGAACAATTCGTTACCAGTGGTCAGTGCAGCATATATTTTATTTCATTATCTTCAGAATTTTTATTTATTCTTTTCATATTTGCCCCTATATGTCCATATCTCTTCCGATTTCCACACAGCCGTCTTCTTTTAAATTATATTTTTGAAATTCTCGTCCTGGGGATCCCACAGCACAGTATAATTTCGGTACAACCCGATAAGAGTCAAACCTTTTTCTTCGGACCACTCCGTAATAACCGAGCACGGAGCGTGATTTACGACACGTACGCACTTGACGTGATATGTTGCTCGCGTGCACGAACAGGCTCCCCTTTGTGTTCGTTCAAAAACCGCCAGCGTACGGAGGGCGAAGGTATCCACTATGTGGAGTCGTTGCAGGAGCGCTGAGAGCAAAGAGGTTCGCGAACATAGTGGATACCCAACTTTCTGTTTGTAGGTACAGCAAACGGACATGTTTTGGGTTACACGAGGAGGTGTAACACCCTTCCTATGTTCCATACTCGGAGAAACTTGTAAGCCCTGCCAATATCAAAATAAATTAAGGAATAAAAAACCCTGATTATAAAAATGATGTCCAACAAATGACATTCATTCTCTGAAGTTATAATGATATTTTTCCAAAAGATTTGGGCGATTAAAGCCAGGTACAAGGCGAAAAGCTTCGCAAGATACAAAAGAGATGGAAAGAAGGCAAAAAGGCCGTTGGTGTGACGAAATAAAATGTCTCAAAGAAAAATTGATATAAAAAACGTGTTTTTTAATTTTATAGAATTTTTGACTTGCCCCAGGCAACTTCGGTGTTGTCCATATGTGGTAGTTATAGATACTTATTGATACAGTTTCACAGCCACTACAGGTAACGTAAAGCAAATTCGTCACCTTATTATCAAACAATACCAACAAGTAAATAAAGATAATAATACACGACCAAGACGCACACGTTGTACCTACACGCAACGCACACATATAAGCGGCTTCTCTATCTATTCTAATATTATATAGGTCGAACGCGCTATTAAAAAAACCGCTACAATCCTTGGTCTTGGCAGATATCTGTTTCGTGATCTTATATGATCATAGATGTTAGCTCTTCAAAACACTGAAGCCGTGTAAGGCCTCTTCTAAAGTTGTAGAAAATTATTGCACGAACATTTTACTTTCATTAGAAAGATTCATTTTCGTACGTAACCTGACAGATTCCAATCGACGCTGTGACTTAACAATAGCATGAATCCTAATACTTTCAACTGTTTTGAGATTCAAAATTTAAACATTCGAAAATAGAACAGTTCCAAATTCAAAATTGCCGGGTTATATGGAAACGACAGGACTTAAAAGGCATGCCTAGTATGCACTTCAGATGCTTTGATTTTGCATTTATTAAGGGTACTAACATTAATATGGAAAAATTTTCATCAAACACAATTATTGATTATTTTTCATTTTGGTTACGAAAAGCTCAACGGTGACTTATGTCCACGGCAAAGAACGAAGCCGTCTTTGCCAGAGTCATTAATTCTACCTAGTAAATGTACTGCAAATTACCGCACAATGTCTTGTAATTGCAAAAAATCAGAATTGTTTTGTATTTCATTATGTAACTGCATCAATAACAAATGTTAAAATAAAAATGAGTAATTTTTTACCTACTTTAAGTACATTTATGCTTGAATTCGCTGGTTTTTCATCTATAACTTTTATTGATTTATTAATAAAAATGATTTATTATAAATTAATTTATTATTTAAGAATCTCCCCTCACTTTAATAAGAACGAACTATATAAATTATTATAGAAATAATCATTAAAATGCTTTTATATCATGTACTCAATACATTCCCTTTTAAGGCAAAAGAGAAAAGGGGGTAAAAAAATGGACCGGCAAGATCCACCATATTATTCCTTGATCTTTTCTTAACTCAAATCCGTTGGCGAAATTCGTCGCTCACATTTTGCATACTCAACTACCTCTAGCGCCCGGACTAATCATTAAATGAGCAACTAGTGAAAACAAAATTTGTTTGTTAGTTGCGAGTTGGTATTCATAAAAGTTCGCAATGTAAAAGACAAGTTTCGTGTATTTCTATGAAAAAAAAATCTGTGGCGCTACAACCTCTTTAGGTCTTAGCCTCAGATTTCTGAATCTGTTTCATGATCATTTTTTAAACCTAATAGGCAAGTAGGTGATCAGCCTCCAGTGCCTGACACACGCCGTCGACTTTTTGGGTCTAAGACAAGTCGGTTTCCTCACGATGTTTTTGATGTTGCAGATTCAATCAAGTACGCATTTCGCTTTGCAACACAAACCACAAATTAAAGCGAGCGAATACGCTGTGACTACCACAGCTTGTTGATGAAATTTGGTTAACTATTTAATTTTATCACTATCATAATAATTAATAATAAAAAGAGGTTGAAATAATAATTTTTATCATTCATTTAATAAATTTGTGTTAATTAATTTGAAAATGTGTCATTATTTTCAAAATATGTAATTGTTCAAAGAACAACAAAAACCTTGCAGTTATAAATTAACATGTTCATTTGAAACAATTTGCTAATTCATCAAGATTTATAACTTGATGAAAGACTTACCAATTTTAGCAGTTTCATTGTACTCTCCTGGATGCTGAAAAACATGTACAAAGGAACTGTTACTATTAATTTCTCTATACTCTATATATCTCTATACTGTTTCTTACATTTAACAACAATATTAAATTCTGCATACTTTGTGGCTATAAGATATTAATACGATTGTTTTTTTGTAAATAAAATATATCAATGAATTCTTTTTTTTTTTTACATTGTGCAAACATAAAGTTATATTTTTAGTTATTAAGTGTTTTGTATTAGGAAGGTAACCACAACTACATACATTATATATTAAGAGTTTATAAAATTTCAATTCTTTAATTGTAAGTTGGGGAAGGTAAACTTTTTTCAGCATTTGCAGCAAGTATAGCACCAGGTGCTGGATAAGGCCTCATTTGATATAAGCAACCAGAAGCTGTGGTGTCGACTCCAGTCTTAGCATGAGCATCCAATCCAGCAGTCCAGTTCCCACGGGGGATGTCAGAGTAAGCCGCAGGATCCATTGGATCCAAATCGTTATCTTTAACTCTATGTTTTTTCTTATCTCTATGATGAACAATATTGCGCTCCTGTTCTTTTCTATTAATCTTTCTTTCCTTTTTGAGTTTTTGGGGCACTTCTTGATCTGAAGTGTCACTGCTGTCGTCACTTTCATCACCTTCTTTCAACAATCTTTCTTCTCTTAAATGGGCTGCACTCTCACTAGGAAAAGCTCGAGGATGAGAAGGTGGTAACCATGACACCAAATTATTATGTAAATTCCAGAAATAGTAATATCCCGTTCCTTCATCATAAATTTCCTCCCATCCTACTGGCAGAGGCCAAAGTTCTAAGAGTTTACGCTTGTTTTCTAAATAATTTTCACTTGGCGTAACTTTACCTTGTTTCCAGGTTTTAACACAGAACTTTGAACATTCGTGGTAAATATTACTTTTATTGGGACAACCTTTGTGCCCTTTAATTGGATCAACGTTAACTCCTTCAATTCCTTCCCAGTAGTTTTCTTTTAGCGTTGACTCTTCCGGTCTGTTATCATAATCTTCGGCTATGATCTCTTCACTAGCATGTATTGTGTGTTGATCAGTCTTATTTGCACTTAAAATTCCACGCTTAGCGAGACGAGCTGCTAAAGCGGGTGGCAACGGCATTTTGATTCACCGTTTAAAGTCTAAACACAGGTTTTCTATATCACCAGGTGTTTTATTATTGTTCAGTATTACTAACTCATTCGTGTGACCCACTAACGTGAACGCCAAACGAATTTGTAATTTCAATTTGTACGTTTTGTAAGATTATGGGAATTAGGAATCGAGCAGGGAATGCACATTGCACAGTTGCACACATTGTTTGACTAATTAACATTTTTTTTTTTTTAAATAGCTTCACGCAGAGCGTATTGCCACAGACAAAGGTAAGGAAAACGGAATAGTAAGGAAAAATAATTTTACATTGTAAGAAAATTACATCGGATATAGGATAGGATCAGCAGGTTATAAAACTATCTCTAATACAAAATACTACATTATGGAAAGGAACAGTAATTAATAAAATATATATCATATAGAATACGATTTGTATACATATGTATTTACAATTTTATATTATTTACAGTAAGAAATAAACATAACTTTTTATATACATTATGATTTAAAGATGAAAGCAGAACAGGAACAGATGTAGGTAACGGGATACTGGAAGAAGGATGAGGATGATCGAATAACATGGAGTGGTTATACCGGGGACAGGACAGAATGATATGATTTCAATCACCAATATTCAGCCCACATTCACACATTTCATTATCAATAATATGAAATCTGGAAAGGTGGGCTGGGGTACACACATGGCCCAATCTCATACGAATGAGAGACGATGTTTCCTTTTTATTAAATTTCATTTTAAAAAACCATGGCTTAAGTGGTATTGTGGGCTGTATAGATGAAAAATATTTACCCTTAATTAAACTGCTCTGAATCCAAAGGTCAGTCCAAGATTGTCGAAGAAAAGAAGCAGGAAGTGAGGCCAAATCATGATAATAATTTTTATACGAGTTAGCATCGCCATCCTTAACAGCTTCATTTGCTAGTTGGTCTGCTATGTCGTTACCAAAAATACCAGAATGTCCAGGTATCCAACCAAATGACACAGACAACCCCAATTGCTTACATTCATACAACAAACCCCTAATCTCAATAATGATAGGAAAAATTAATTTGTTTTTAAATGGATATTTTTGGAGAGCTTGAAGAGCACTAAGTGAATCTGTGAATATGATTGATTTCTTAAGTTTCTTACTCAAAACTAGTTTTATAGCTTTAAAGATACCGTAACATTCCCCTGTGAAGATTGAGGACTCTGGAGGAAACTTTATTTTTATTGTAGTTTTACTTTGTAAGTGAAATACTCCTATTCCTACACTACCATACGAACCGTGTTTAGATGCATCTGTAAATATGTAATTGTACTCGTGGTAGTATTGTTCACAGAAATAATTAAAAGTAATCCTTGCGTGGGAATCGCCCTTATTTATACCAATATTGAAACTAATGTCTGGGGAACTATTTAAAGATTCAAAGTTAGTTCCAAATAAAGGGTAAGTTGGCAAGGTGTGAGGTGGAGCTTGAATATTGATAAATTTATTGAAGCTAACGATAAGACAAGGTGAAGATTTATTTGACCAGTAATTTGAAGATGTCAACAATTGAGACAGTTCTTGAAGCTTAGAACGGAGAGGATGGTTGGCATATTGAAGGGAGCGAAATATGAATTTATCAGATAAATATTGTCGTCTAAGATGTAATGGGGCATCAACACATTCTACTTGTAAAGCATTAATTGGACTAGTTTTCATAGCTCCTGTGCTTAATCTTAATGCCTTAGACTGTATATTATCTAATTTTTTAAAACGGGTTGCATTTCCAGGAGATAATAAAAAAGTACCATAGTCTAAAATACTTCGGATTAAAGCATTGTAGATAAGTTTCATACAAAAGGGATGGGCACCCCACCATACACCGGATAAACATCTAAGAATGTTTAGGTTTCGCTCACACCTACTAAAAATGTAGTCACAATGATTTACGCCAGAGAGCTTAGAATCTAAAAACACACCAAGGAACTTCACAGAGTTCTTAACAGGGATAATATTATTACCAAAATACACATTGATTGGAGGAGGGAGTCGCATTCTAGAAAAAAGCATGGCAACACTTTTAGTGGGGGATATTTCAAGGCCATTACCCAAAGAAGCTTTCAAATCATGGGTATAAATATTATATAGGATTGGACTTAAGACTGATCCTTGAGGAAGACCTCTCCATAAGGTTCTGGTTACAACAGTAGAGTCTTGTGAAATTAGAGTGATGTGTCTTTCGTGTAAAGTATTTATGATAAAATTTGATAACATTACAGGTACATTCAAATATTGTAGCTTTTTATGGAGAACTGACAACACTACATTGTCATAAGCAGATTGTACATCTAAAAATGTGGCAACAACAGAATCATTCCTTGAAAATGCTAAAAAAATATCAGTGATAAAGATGGCAATACTGTCCATCGTACTCTTCCCTCGACGGAAACCAAATTGACTGTCACAAAGTAAGGGTTGGGGTTGATATCAATGCCATGGAATTTGATGATACTGATTATGCAGGAGTCTCGGGGACCCTTGATTGGAACACCTCCAAGTGATTTTAGCTTTAGGATAAGCGTCAAAGTATTTTTAAAAATTTTTTTTAACTTTTGTCAATTGTATTGAAATTATAAACAATCCGCCATTATCTAACTACTTTTCTATTGGTTATAATGGCCGATTTACACGTATTAAGTTGACTAAAAATTAACTAAATATTAACTTAATTTTAAGTAACTTAACCCGTGTAAACAGTTAATTTAGTAAGAAGTTGCAAGTTAAAATTTAGTTGCAACTAAACAAGGTAGAATAGAATTTTGTCTATTTTTCGGTTAAGTTGGTGGGCGTGGCTAATCACTTGACACGTTTGGACAGGCAAAATTTAGTTAAATTTAAGTAAAAAGCATAAGCTGGCGGAGTCATTGCAAAGCTATGCTTTTGCTTTCGGCGCTGGAAGCTCAAAAACATATCCAAAACTATTTGTCCGATATGCGTATACAACAATTAATGAACAGTAGTAGAACCCCTTCCCCAATGAATAATAGTAGCCGTTTTACTCCTTCGCCTTCTTCAAATACGTATTACGTTGAGTCCCCAGAACCTTCACAATCATGTATTGGAGCATACAATACAGTAAATCCCCAATCAGGAAGAGAAAATCCTATAATATTTTGTTCTGTGGTCGTCCATCTTGAGCGAATAAATGTGTTTAACTAATTATTTAGTATTTTTACGTGTAAACGGTTACTTAAAATTAAGTCACTTGAAATTTAGTTAAAATTTAGTTAAGACTTGGCAACTTAATACGTGTAAATCAGCCTTAAGAGATGTGACTTTCTCGATTTCTATTGGTTATAAGTGATGTGTCATTGTCGTTTTCTATTGGTTATAAGTGATGTGACATTTTCGGTAAATTAATTGGATCGATTATTTTCTCATTTGTTATTTTTAAAGTTGAACCTAATCGAATCGATTATTTTCTCATTTGTTAATTTTATAGTTGAACCTAATTTAAGCATTACTTGTCAAATGTACATACATTACATTAACTTCATGTTTTAATTAATGTATGGTTCCGAAAATTATTAAATTATTCAAATAGTACCCAAAACCGAATCAGAGCAGCCCACTATCCACGTGGTCTTGTCTGCCTTACCCCTAGAGTGTATATAAATAATCGGAGGCGCGGAGGAAGAGCAGCCCCCACTCGCTGTAACAAAGCACTGGCATTATGAAAGCTGTAGCGGCTGAGGCTGGTCGCCAGAGGCGACCAAAAAGCCGAGGTTGCGGAGGCTTGAATAAAATGCCTGTGCTTTGGTACGCAAGGGTGGAGGGGCTGCATTTCCCGTAGCGCCGGAGCTGTCCACAAAAAAAAATATTATTTAGATTGGTTAGGTTAGAGTTAGTATATGAATATTTGGTCGCCGAAGGCGACCAGGACGCCGAGAAGCCGAGGCTTCAATAAACAATTACTATTTAGATCGGAGCTGTCCACAAAAAAAAATATTATTTAGATTGGTTAGGTTAGAGTTAGTATATGAATATTTGGTCGCCGAGAAGCCGAGGCTTCAATAAACAATTACTATTTAGATCGGAACTGTCCACAAAAACAAATATTATTTAGATTGGTTAGGTTAGAGTTAGTATATGAATATTTATAGACCAGGACGCCGAGAAGCCGAGGCTTCATTTTATAAAGTATAAACGCAATCGGCCATTTCGAATGTGGATTTTGCCAGAACAGTGTGTGTTCACAGTGATCAAGTGCAAATTATAAGTTAAAAAGCCGTTACTTTTTATGTTTTTTTATTTTTGCGTGAATGTGCGTTATTTTACTATCATTTTTTTAAACTTGGCTTTACATACATACTAGACACTGATTTCTTGCGATCATTTTCAGATTAAGTACTGTAAAAAAAAAAAATTTTTTTTTGGTTTCCTAAGCGCAAAATTTGTGGGGGGTGATTACTACACCCCTCCCCCCCCCTCCTCACCCCCCGCAACCCTAAATTTGGGTACATCTGTTTCGCATCGTTACCCAAAGTAATTTATTGCTTTCTACAAACCATTCAAGACGAGTTTTCACCAAATGTTCACATAGTTTTATCAAGACCGAAGATAATGCAATAGGACGATATGAATTTGCATTAGAGGGATTTTTATTAGGTTTGAGAATTGGTATAATGATCTGGTTTTTCCAGTGTGGAGGGATAGAACCGGTTAACATGAGTGTATTTATCAATTTCAGGAAATATTCAAGAGTTTGGTCACCTAAATGAGAGATGAAGGAATATGGGATTCCATCGTCACCAGGAGCAGAGTCTATAACTGAAGATAGTATTCCTTTAATTTCATACATAGAAAATGGACTATTGAGACCAGAGGGGTTCAATGGCATCAGAGGCATAATTATTCTTTCAGGAGCTGTAGTAGGAGCAAGTCTGTCGAGGAATTGATTAGTTAATGAATCAGGGAGAGAACCAGAAGTTTCAGTAAATGCACACCTGAATCTTC